CCCAGGCGCCCCCTCCCCCGCCGCCGGCGGGCTCCTCACCTCAGCGCAGCGCCCAGGAGTCCGAGAAGAATCGGTGCCGCGCTGCTGGCGCGTCGCGTCCGGCTGGCCGGGGGAGTGGCGCCCGGGAGAGCAGCTAGGCGGGTGGCCGCCGTCGACCGCCAAACTGAAGCGGCGTACCGCAGGCCCCGGCCAGTGGCCCTCCCCTCAGCCGAACAAAAGAGCCTCGCACTCTGCGTTGCCCGCCGCCCACAGCGCGCAGGCGCGACGACCTGTCGCGGGGCACCATGGGACTAGGAGTCTGTCCGAGACGACAAGTCCCAGAGTGCCGCGCGCGTGCCACGCCGCGCGCACCGTTCTCGGGGGTTGTAGGGAGTTTTACTTTCAAACCGCGATGGCGCGGGGACAGTGGCGCGCGACTGTCATGTCAGCTTTTAGGTAAGACCGGAGGGTCGCAAATTCGAACACAATGTGGGCAACTTAGTGATTTAGGGAGACCACTGTCTCAGGAAAATTTTTTTAAAGGCTGTGGGTGTAGCTCAGTGCGAAGGCACCGGGTTCAATCATCACCGCCTTAAAGAGAAAAAAGACGTGATTTTATAAGTGAGTCCTTTCATGCTTCTGGACAATTCTGGAGTTACCTCCTCGACATTTTAAATCTTAACTAGTTCCTCACTGGAGCTTTATGAAATCTCCACCTCGTTGTATCTCAAATAATCTCGGTAATCCTCAATCCCTGCCTCTATTAAAAAGGAAAATAAACAAGGCTTCTACTCCTCAGCGTGGAGATTACTTCACCTTCGAGGCGGCCCCTCGCACCCTGGGTGGGTAGGTAGATGTCAAGTAGCTTTCTGGATTTCCCCTTTTTCTTCTTCTGCGCCAGTGGATGGCATCCCCTTAGTCCCCATAGCACCTGTCCTGCAGCCACCCCAAAGAAATAGAATTAGAGCCAGGGCTGTAGTCACAGCCCTCTGGGAGGCTGAGGCAGGAGGGCCACATACTGGAGCCCAGCCTGGGCAGTTTAGCCACTTAGGAAGTCCTTGGGCCAAACTAAAAAAAATAAAGAAGGCGCTGGGAATGTAGCTCACAGAGAAGGCCTGCATCCCCCAGCAGTGCAAAGGGGGAAAAAGCAACACATAATTAGGTAAAAACTGTGCTTGTCATTCTTTGACACAAGTGTGCTGGCTCTTCTGATTTCAACTAGATTGTTGTCCCCAGACCTTTCATATGGAAATTCGCTCTCCCGGGAGAACACTCACTTTGTTGTAATTAGTTAATAGCTGTCTTGCCTTCTGGGAAATCAGAACTCTTATAAGGGTGGAAACTCTGCCTCGTGAGCCCGGTGTCCACACAGTCCCGGCAAGCAGTGTTCAGTCAGAATTTGCTCTTAGCACCGGCAAAGACCAGGATTCGATCCCCAGCACTGCAAGAAGTGTTACTTGAGTGATGAAACGAGTGAACGAAATGACCACCTGTCAGAAAAGCAAGCAGGTCACGTTTCCATTCACCTCTTTTCTCCCCTCAGATGTGTGTGTTTTCCTTGTCCTTACCCCTGCCTTTCTTTATCCATTCAGACTGAGTAGAACGTCTGCCGGAAGGTGACTTTCTTCTTTCTTTTTTTTCCGAGACAGGGTCTCACTGTGCAGCCCAGGATGGCGAGGAACTCACAGCGATCTTGCGTGCTGGGATTCCAAGCACGCACCATCTCTCCAAGCTCATTTTTTATTTTGATACAGGGTCTTGCTAACTCTCTGAATTGTCCAGGATGGATTCAAATTTCTGATCTGATCCTCTAATTCATCTTCCTGGAGTGCTGGGACTATAAGTGTGCACTACCATACCCAGTTTGAATGTCCTATTTTGAATAACTTTTTGAGAAAAGTACATGTACCCATACTGGTTACCCTGTGTGTGTGTGTGTGTGTGTGTGTGTGTGTGGTGATAGGGAAGGTCATACATACTGAGCAAGTACTATAGCACTGTGCTGTACCCCTAGTCTATGCTAAATTCTTTTTTTTTTCTTTTTTTTGGTTTTTCT